TTTTTAATAACATGTATAATATGTTTATTCATGTCATTATATTACTTGAAACTAATTGCACAAAAGAACTTATAAACTCTACTTCAAAACAAACAAAATAAATAAGCAAAATGGCGGATTGTGTCAGCGCTACTGAAGTTAGCAAACGTGTCCTGGCCGAAAACTGTCTAGTTTCGCCATTTTGCTTACAAGCGCTTCCTAGGGCTTTTTTCTACCAAACGCAGCCATTGACTTTTATATACATATAGAAATGTTCCTACTACTTTTACTAAAGTCTCGTGTCTAAACTGCCAACCGATTTCATAACAATAAATTAGCTCATTAATTTTAGCCACGACGTCGTGAAAATATTGTATCAACGAAAGTAGGACAAATTATAGTGCAATAAGTGTATGCCAATCAAATAATAATCTCTCTACGCATTATGCAAATAAAGCCGATGCACTATGTTACGACTACTAACGCCACCTACGAGAGCGAACGCCCTCTGATGTCGTATCGTATAAAACGCGAGTAGGAAGCTCTTGAAAGAAGCCTCAGGAGAAGCGTTCATTAATATTCTAAACGTCTAGCAAGCAACACAAATTTTGTCAACCACATATTAATTATTTCGAATTGTAATTTTAAATAAATATTTTTATTTAAAGACAAAATAAACGATTCATTTGAACCGGGAACCTGAAACTCGCACCATATTTTGGACCATCATCGCCGGATTTCAAGAACTGAGCCAGCGTCGCACAACTAAGCGTAGTAGCAGCGAAACGGTCAGGTTTTTATTCCCTTTTACTCCTAATCCTTTTCAAATTGTGCTAAACCGTGTTCTTTTCACATCTACAGTGCTCGAGATTTCTGTCTGGTTGCAACGCTACAGCCGTAAATACTTACACGTGAGTACCTACTTTTACCACATTATTTCTTCATAGGCCGCCAAAATGAGTGAAAGTTCTAGTGTAAAATTAATTGTCCCATCTCTTTCGCCTTCGAAAAAGAAATCAGTAGACGAATATCTTTCGGATCTCAAGAGAAAAAGAGGTCATTTGAAGGGCAAACTAACGCAGTTTAAAAAATACGTTACAAGTTTAGAATGTGCTAGCCTCAACAAAATTCAAATTGCAGAATTAAAGTTAAGGAAGCAATCGGCTAGTGAAGTTTTTCATAATTGTAATTGTATAGAAAGCGAAATAGAACTTAATTCTTCAGATAGCGAAATTTGTATCAATTTAGAATGTGTAGAATCATTAGAATCATTGTATTTTAGCACAATGGCCGTTGCCAATTGTCTGAGTGATGGAATGGATGATGGATCTCAAGTGACACAGTGCGCTTCATTGCAATCTAACGTTAAATTACCTCAAATTAAACTGCCTATATTCGACGGCTCTTACGATAACTGGTTAGAATTCAAAAACGTATACATTACAATAATACATAAACGTTCTGACTTGGATGAAATTCAAAAATTTCATTATCTGAAATCATCATTGACTGGTACTGCCTTACAAGTGATAAGTTCTCTAGAATTTACAGCGCTTAATTATATCCAAGCATGGGAGCTACTTGAAAATCGTTATAATAACATTCGATTGTTAATTAATAATCACGTCAAATCATTATTTAATATTCCAAACATTAAACAGGAATCACCATCACAAATTCGTAAATTAATAGACACAGTTTCTAGAAATTTACACGCTCTAAAAACATTTAACGAGCCCACCGAGTATTGGGATACTTTGATAATCCATTTAATAATTTCGAAACTGGATACTAATACGGAACGTGAATGGGAAACGTGGAGAGTTGATATTGGTAGTCGATTTAAAGGTGATTCTTCCGAGAAAATATGTTTAGAAGATTTATTTTCATTTGTACGCAATAAAGCAAACATGTTGGATATGATAAACACTGTTCAGGCACACAAATCGCAAAATAAATCACTTCCTAACAAAGCTAAACGAGTCGGTATCAGGTAATATTCATAGTTACGTTTCAACTAATAATGGCAATAGCAAACCTAAATGGAAAACTAAAAAGAAGTTTCCTAAATGCTTATTATGTAGCCAGAATCATTCACTACACACTTGCGTTAATTTTTTAAATTTATTAGTTAAAGATAGGCTTAAATTCGTACAAGACAAAAATTTGTGTCGTAATTACTTGCGTGCGGGGCATTCAGTAAACGACTGCTTATTCGGCCCTTGCAAACAGTGTCAACGCAAACATAATACTTTGTTACATTTTAATGTAGATGCGCGTGTGATAGACGAACCGACTTCAGTCGACACACACACAACAGTGTCTATAGCTGCGTTGCACTCATTATCTGCTGAGACAACCGTGCAGCAAAAAAGTTTACTACAACCGGTTTTGCTATCCACGGCTTTAGTCGAAATAGTAGATAGTAATAATTGTTTTCACACAATACGTGCTCTTCTCGATAATGGAAGCCAGCATTGTTTTGTTTCGGATAAGTTGTGTAAACGGTTAAATGCGCCTCTAATACAGTCCACTGTTCAAATCTCTGGTGTTGGAAAATTCATTTCACAATCGAGACATTCATGCGATGTATCTATCCGTTCAAAAATAAACGACTATAAAGTAAATTTAAATTGTTTCGTCTTGCCGTGTATTACGTCTAGTTTACCCTCGATGAACATTAAATTCGATATTAAACGTTATATTCCCAATAACATTCAACTTGCGGATCCTAATTTTAGTGTACCCTCAGATATAGATTTATTATTAGGGGCCAATATTTTTCGGGATCTTTTAGATAATAATAAAATTCGTTTACCATGCGGGCCATATTTACAAGGTTATAAATTCGGGTGGTTCCAAGAACTTGCGCATTAATCAGGTTCAGTGTAATTTTAGTCAGTGCATTGATACACAGCTCAAAAAATTTTGGGAGTTAGAGGATATACCCACAGCTTCTCGCAACATTCTAAGTAATGGAGAACGTGTGTGCGAGGAGTTATTTACAAAAACTACTAAACGTGAAAATAATGGTAGGTTTTCGGTTCGAATACCGCTAAGAGAATCAGCTGATACGCTCGGGGATTCTTATACGTCAGCGAAGAAACGATTTCTATCACTAGAACGTAAACTCGAACGTATACCTGATTATAAACGAATGTATAATGATTTTTTATTATGTCATATGACTAGAATTTATTCGAGTAGTTCTCCTAATTTTTATCTTCCTCATCACGGAGTTTTTAAGGATAGCAGTTCTACAACAAAATTACGCGTAGTATTCGATGGAAGTGCTGCGACCAGCTCAAAAAAATCGTTGAATGATATTCAGTTTCCTGGTCCAGCATTACAAAATGACATATTTTCTATCTTGTTGCGATTTAGACAATATAAATACGTAGCATGTGCAGATGTAGAAAAGATGTTTCGTCAAGTACTTGTTCAAGCAGACCAAAGGTCTTTGCAACTTATACTCTGGCGAGAAAATCTTACGGAACCCTTATACATACCAACTACATAGCTACATACCAACTCAACACGGTGACGTACGGCACCGCCTCAGCGCCGTTCCTTAGTATGCGCTGCATTCGACAACCAGCAATAGAATGAATTTGGAGAAAATTACTTGTTGAGAGATAGAGGCGACTCTATTATATTTACCCATACTGGGTATGGCGTAAATATAATATAATAATACCCATTACCATTACCATTACCAAAGCGTATTAACGCTCTGTGTGGAAATCAATCTGCAAAAACACTTAATTATTCAATATAGATTTAATCAATCACTCACTGTAATCACTCATTTACTCACTATAACCACTCACATACACACTGTGATCACTAATCACTCATTGAAATTCACACGGGATAGAGAATAAAGAGGATTTATCTTTTCACTTTAAAGTTGCCTTATTTCGTACTTTCTTAACTATAATTATAAGAGACTTCAAATTTATTATGTAAGTTGTCGCAGTAATATAATATTATGTCTATACTCTGTGTATCCAACACGGGTAGGCGGTGTCAACACACAGTGGGGTACATCTATCTAAAAAAAAGTATAGTTCCTTAGGAGCAACAAAATATTGTAATTTCCAATCAAGCCACGGGCAATCCCCATTAGGTATATACAGATTCTGATATTCAAACAGAACTACTAACACTAAGATCAAACTTAGTGATCTCAAAGCTAGTGGGTGACTGCGTGAATCGATAAAATGCCCTGGGGTGTAGCAAAAGAGTCGTTTTGAGATGGATTCCGGGTCATGCGCATATTGTAGCCGATGAATGAGCCAAAAAACTAGCGGGGGAAGGCTCAAAGAGGACACAATTTGGCTTTGAGCCATTTTGTGAAATCTAAAACAGCCTGGCCTTACTGACACTTGAAAATCTTTACCACAGAAATCACTTAGGAAATGGACTGTTAAACCATGCATAAAACATTTTAAAACCTTATTGATAAAATAAAAGGATTTATTAATAGATTCTACCCGGGCAATGCCGGGGCGGGTCGCTTGTATATAAATAAAGTAGGTAGGTATATTATATACTATAGTACACCATATTTTAGTACCTATATAATTATTATACCTATATCTATCTAAAACAACATATTTTCATAATTTGTTATAACGATTACTTCAGTTGTAAAGTAGGATAGATATGTGTTATAGTTTATATATATAGATTCTTATTGAATGGTGTAAATAACTGGCAATCAATATTTTGAAAACAATTTTTCATTTAAAACCAAAAGTAACAGTCAGTGTTCATTATTGCCTATGTCTGAATTGACAACGAAGGTAATAAATGTTTAAAAAGTTTTTTCTTTTATAAAATACTTATAAACAATGCATTGTATCAAATTATTTTCTTATTTAAAGTTACGAAATGTTAGATACTTTAAATTATATTCACCAATCTATGGACATAGATGGTATCCAGATGCGGAATACATAAAGCAATTTTCCGGTCCAACTATGTATGGTACGGAAGTTACTGAGAAATATTATAAGATGATTTATAGCGGAGTTGTGAGACCAATCGAAAAAAGACTACAAAATATGTGGATCAACTTTGGTCCGCAACACCCGGCTGCTCACGGTGTCCTTAGGCTTATATTAGAGCTTGACGGAGAAACTGTTGTTCGAGTTGACCCTCATGTTGGTTTCTTACACAGGGCTACCGAGAAACTTATGGAAAACAAACATTATAATCAAAGCTTACCCTTCATGGATCGATTAGACTATGTATCCACAATGGCCAACGAACAGGGATTTGTGCTAGCTGTTGAAAAATTACTTAATATTGAAGTTCCACCTAGGGCTAAGGCTATTCGTGTCTTGTGTGCTGAACTGTCTCGGATAGCAAATCATTTCTTAAACATCTCCGGCACAGTACTTGATGCTGGTGGTATAACACCATTTTTCTGGATGTGCGAGGAACGGGAAAAGATTTATGAGTTATTTGAACGACTATGTGGTGCCCGCGTCCATAATGCTTATATGAAACCGGGCGGAGTCACTCAGGACTTGCCAATAGGTTTTCTAGACGATGTTTATGAGTTTTGCTGTAAGGTCGGGGAGAGATGCGATGAAACTGAGGACGTTGTTACTGGAAATAGATTATATTATGCTAGAACTGCTGGTATTGGAGCCGTAAGTGCTCATGAAGCAATTAATTTAGGGTTTAGCGGACCGATGTTGCGTTCCACGGGAGTGAAATGGGATTTACGAATAGCTCATCCATACGACGGTTACGATTTATATGATTTTGACGTGCCTGTTGGTACTTTTGGAGATAGTTATGATAGACACCTACTTCGATTATTTGAGTTGCGCCAGTCTTTACGAATTATTAATCAAGTAATTGATACAATACCTGAAGGCGAAGTTCGAACCGATGATTCAAAAATATCTCTTCCTTCGAGACAAGAGATGAAAACATCAATGGAAGCGCTAATCCATCATTTTAAATTATGTACTGAAGGTTATGTTGTGCCTCCCGGAGCGACTTACACGGCTGTTGAATGTCCTAAAGGAGAATTAGGATTATATATGGTTGCAGATGGTACATCTAAACCATATCGTGTTCACTTACGTCCATGTTCTTATAACCACTTGGCAGGGTTGGCTATAATGGGCAAAAGAATGATGCTTGCTGACATATCTATACTTGTAGCGACTATTGACGTTGTGTTTGGTGATGTAGATCGTTAAGCTTTGGCTCTATCAAATAAATTGTGTATTCATTACTAATTTTCTATTTAACAAACTTGTAGGCGTTTACGTACATAAATTTCAAATAGACACATCCGTACCCGGAACATGTATTTGTAAGCCATACAAACACTAGTACCGTGCGGCAAGCCGTTAGAAGTTGGGTTTCTAAGATGTTTTAAGCCTATCTGTATTATATAACAATCGTTGTTAATTATTTAAATAATGCTGGTAAGAATATAGAAAAAAAAATATCATCATAATCATTACAGTTCCTCACAAGTGTACACCTGAAGAAAGCTGAGCCTCAGGCAAGGAACGCCGCAAAATATGGTCCTGAGTCACCTGCATTCATCAAATTCTTGCATGTCTTACTAGGTCGTCACTCCATCTATTAGTGTGACCCTACTTGTAACAAACCTGCTGTAAAAAAGATTAGAGGCCTTATATATATTGAAACAGCTAGATTAGTTAATTTTTAGTTATTTTAGCGTAGTGTCATAAATGGAATATTGCTATGGGGTAATGTTTTGCAGAAGAGAGCAATAAGAGAAATTTATAACCTAGGTCCGAAGTAATCGCTTAGAGAAAATTTTAAAGAAATATTTTTCTTAACTTTGGCCTGTCAGAATATTTACATACATTACGATTATTTTTTTTAGAATAGGGTGATACACGAGCACACACCCCAGCTGATGGTAGGTGGATGCTGTGGCCCATAAACATCTACATGTATCCTCAACTAAGAATCAAAATGCAGATGCGTTGTCACCCCTGGAGTGCTTCGTTTATGGGATGACAACGCATCTGCGTTTTGATTCTTAATCGAGGATAAATGTAGATGTCTATGGGCCACAGCATCCATTTACCATCAGGTGGACTGTGTGCTCGTTTGTCACTCTTATTCTATAAAAAATTAAAAAAGTGCAGCTCAAGGCTATCCTAGGTCTAGGCTTCCTGAATTCACTCCTGAATAAGTTGAATACATACGCGGTATCTCGAAATATTTCAGACTAAATCTCAATTACTCAGCGCATTTGGTATACAAAAGCGAATTCCCGTATGGTTTTTATAAATCTCCGCAGTGGCGTAGCTACCTTGGGGCTAGGCGGGGCAGTGCCCCGGGGCCCCCAAGCTCAAGGGGCCCCTCGGCCTCCATGAACGACATTCAAAAATTATATAATATCCTAGCTGAACAAATTATTATTATTTTTAACTTTTTGTCCCATGACCAACAAACCTCGAACTTTCAAACCGAAATCACAAAAATTTCTTCCTCCTACAGAACATAAACATCATTGTTAGAATAAAATCGTCTACTTCGTCTTAGTTTCTAAGTACTTACACATTATGTTACTAACTGTAATCTACTTCGTCATTCTTACTTCGTATGGACCAACATTGAAAATTATACCATGGAATCCTTTTACCTGATAGATGAAAGTAAAGTCCTACCCAGGATGAGTTCTATCCGTGTGCAAAATTTCATACAAATCCATACATCAGTTTTGGCATGAAAGCGTAACAAAGGAACAAACTTTCACATTTATATACAAATTCAAGACATTTCTTTCAAAGTTTAATTACATTTAATTATAATATACTGAATGATTTTTTACCGTCTGGAAAAAATAGGGTGTAACAGGTGAACGGTGTAGAAGCCTATGTTACTGATATTTTTAAATTATTTTTTTTCAACATATAAAATGTATAATATATATGAAATAAAAAAATTTTAAGCAAATGCAGTAAAAATTATTTTTAGTTTTATGCAAATGCAGTAGGATGAATGATTTTTATGTAATTTTTGAAATATTTGGGAATTTTTTCTATCAGTTATAATTTAGAAAGTTTTCGAGGATAGCTTCCATTCCAGTTACACAAAACACCATATTAGTTCCCAGACGGTAAAAAAAGTCACGCCAAGTTCAATAACTTGTTGCCATGATCCCATTACTGTAGAAATCTTGAGATTTTTGATTAAAAAAAATGGGACAAGTACTTTTAACAGTCCTTTCTTGATGTTAAAACCTAGCACTACCCAAAGAATTCTCAAGAGACCGAAGCAGGTGAAAATCTGAAGTTGCAAGGTCAGAACTATAGACTATGACAGAATATAACTAATGGTGGATGCATTGACACTTCTCAAGCTCTCTAAATTTTTGCTAAATGGCAAAGGGTGTGTGGTCTGAAGTTATCATGATGAAATACCATGCTTTTACTGTTGATCAATTCCGGCCGGTTTTTTCTCACTTTCTTGCTTGAGTCTCATTAGTTTTTGGCAGTAGAAATCCAAATCGGTGGTTTTGCCCGGCTGTAAATGCTGATAATAAACGATGCCCTTCCGTTCCCACCGTAAAAAATGTTTTTTTATTTTTATTTTTATATTACTGTCCAATTTTCAGATTTCTACGTATAGCGTTTGGGCTGTGCGTTGGTAGATGAGTCAGTTACTCAGAGCATCCTCTTTTATATATTATACTCGTAGATAAGGAAGTACGAATAAATATTATCTGCTGCGTTACACACGCTACTTAGTAGTAAGTAGCTTTGCTTTATTATGCCCTACCTACCCAACAGTGGGCGATAAAGAGCTAACGATGAACTAGTTTTGCACCTTATGTATTTAGTTTAGTTCAAATAGGGCCCTAATTTAATTTTTTTCTCCGGGGGCCTTGCTTACAAAGCTACGCCACTGAATCTCCGTCATTTGGCAATGATTTAGAAATCTTAAGTTACAGAAAAAGTAAATAAAATAAATTTGAAATTTCAATGGTAATGTACTTTTTGAAAGTTGCATTTACGTACGTAATATTTTCAAACATCATCATCGTTAGAGTAGGTACTTCACAAGTCCACTGCTGAACATATGTCTCCCCCAAGGAATGCCACACGGCACGGTCCTGAGCCACCTGCATCCATCAACTTCCTGAATGTCTTACCAGGTCGGCACTCCATCTCGTGAGATGTCAGCCTACTCTTCGCCTACCGGTACAAGGCTGTCACTCGAGAACCTTTTTCCCATTGGTTGTTGGTTCTTCGAGTTATATGACCAGACCATTGCCACTTCAGATTAATAATCCATTGGCCTATGCCGATCACTCTGGTTATACTCATTTCGAAGTTTATCACGCTGAGAAACTCTGAGAATAGCCCTCTCCATAGTTCGCTGCTCGACCTTGAGCGTCCTCTTACGGCGAGCAGTGAAGGACCACGTCTCAGTTCCATAAGTCATCACTGGCAACACGCACTGGTTGTACAGTCTTGTTTTCAGGGTTTGAGGTATAGCTGACGAGAAGATATAGCATTACACTTCTATTTTATGCTGTGGGAGCGTCGTACAACCCCGGCCGATTCAACCCGTCCATGCAACAACACAACAAGCACAAGTTAGTTATATCAGTTACTCGATGGTCACGGGAGGTGGAGTGACGACCTGGTAAGACATGCAGGAAGTCGATAGATGCAGGTGGCTCAGGACCGTGCTTTGTGATATAACCTGGGGGAGGCCTATGTTCAGCAGTGGACTTGTAAAGGGCTGTAATGATGTTAAAACTATTGTAAAGTTAATTACCTGATATATGCTTGGTAATATGTTAGTGGCTAAAAAATAATAATATTAGAAAACTCTCATTGTAACCTATGCTGTTGGTATTCCAAAAGAAAAATATTATGACTTAAAAATAAAATACAAAATAAAGTAATAATCATGTTTATTTTTTCAATGTAATGTTATACAAAAAATTTTATTCTTCTCCACGACTATTGTCTTCATTATCCATTTCAACATAGCTTGAGTTTTCAGTTTCTTTTACAGATTCACTTGCTGCTATATTTTCTTCATAGAAAGCTATTTTAGAAGGATCACTAAGAATTAGATCTGCAGCCTTGTGTGGATTTAACGGTAATTTATTTTTGTATACAGTGATTCGAATGTAGCTTCACTGGGAAGCGCACGTTTTGTACGGATTTGGATTCCTCCACTAGGTACAAATCCAGTGAAGTTGTACTTAACAAATACAAACGGGCTTTTTGTTTAAATTTTTAGCATTTGCACTTCTATTATTTTCATGGCAGGTTTGCCTTGTTTCAGGAAGAATGGTTCCAAAAACTTTTTAACATCCTAAAACATATCGTGTCTTATTTTTTTAACGTCAAACGCAGAGGGATGTTTGCGAGCAGAACGTATTAACACATCCTATTCATGGTCAGTCTCTATGGTGCACGTTTACTTCAATTTGCCAATGAGAGATAAATCTTGATCATTTGGAAGATATGAGTGGATACGAATTGGAAAAATGTTTTTGTTGGACTTGAACAGCCCTAATATATACGCACGCACAGACAACAACAATGAACAATGAAACGTTTTTTTTTTCAAAAACTGCTAAACCACGTTCACATACGTTGTTTTTGCAAAAATGAGAAAAAGTTGAGTATTTTTTGCCAAAGTTGTCGTTTTTTAGATGGCTTTTTCTTGTAAAATAGTTGGTTTTTGTAAAAATTGAATTAATTTGCAACATTCCATTTTTTTAAGGAATCCAGTTTTGCCAAAATCAAGAAATCTCTAAAATTGTTAGTTATATAGTTTTTGTAAAAAAAACCTTCTTATCATTTTTCGATAGTCCTTGTAAGTAAAATTTACATCACTGGCTAACGCACACAATTTCAAATAAAATTCGTCACGCGTTTTCAGGCTGTCAGTTCGTTTAAAAGCTAGTACTATAGTATATTCTAAGTCTATGGTCTGTGCCTTTTTTATATTTATATGTCAATTATTTTTACTAAGGAAGTCCCGCATTATGTGTCTACGAAGTCCCGCCTCTTAAAAGAAAGTGAATGCTGAATAGGTACTGAATAGTATAGATATGCCAACTCCGAAAAATTACAACTCGATTTGAAATTCACGTAACTCGAGTTAAAACTCGCGTTACGCAACTCAAGTTAGCAGAATAAACTACTTTCTTTTACAAATTTGTTTTTTATCTAGCTCTGGTGAC